CAGGGGAGAGCCCCCCTGCAGTCCCCACCACCGCCAGCCGTGGGGACGGGGAGGGGGACGGGCCCCCTCCCGCCACGAGCACCTCGGGGAGCTGCGGCTGGATGCTGGGCACCTCTGCAGCCTGGAGATGGATATTTGTCACCTCCATAGGCTTGAGTCGGACGTTGGGCATCTCCGTGGTCTTGAGTTGGATGTTGGGCACCTCCACGGTCTTGAGATGCACGTTAGGCACCTCCATAGTCTTGAGTTGGACGTTGGGCACCTCCATGGTCTTGAGTTGGACGCTGGGCACCTCTGTGGTCTTGAGATGTATGTTGGGCACCTCCGTGGTCTTGAGTTGGACGCTGGGCACCTCCATCATTTGGTGACAGGCACTGGGCACCTCAGTGGCCTGGAGATGGACATTTGTCACCTCCATCGTCTTCAGTTGGACGTTGGGCACCTCCGTAATCTTGAGATGGATGTTGGGCACCTCCATCATTTGGTGATGGACACTGGATACCTCAGTATCTTGGAGATCGACACTGGTCATCTCCGTAGTCTGGAGATGGATGCTGGGCACCTCTGTGACTTGGAGATGGACACTGGGCACCTCAGTGGTTTGGTGACACACATTGGGCACCTCAGTGGTCTGGAGACGGACATTGGGCACCTCTGTGGTCTGGAGATGGATATTTGTCACCTCTGTGGTTTGGGGATGGATGCTGGGCACCTCAGTGGCTTGCAGCTGGACAGTGGTCACCTCTGCATCCTGGAGATGGATGCTGGTCACCTCTGCGGCCTGGAGATGGACACTGGGCACCTCGGTGGCTTCGAGATGGATGTCAGGCACCTCAGTGGTTTCAAGATGGACATCGGGCACCTCAGTGGTTTCAAGATGGACGCTAGGCATCTCTGTGGTCTGCAGCTGGATGTCGGCCACCTCCATGGCCTGGAGCTGGATGTCGGGCACCTCTGTGGCCTGGAGATGGATGTCGGGCACCTCTGTGGCCTCAAGATGGACACTGGGGACCTCCGTGGTTTGGAGATGGATGTCGGACACCTCTGTGGCCTGGCGATGGATGTCAGGTACCTCGGTGGTTTGGAGATGGACATTTGTCACCTCTGTGGTCTGCAGCTGGACATTGGGTACCTCTGTGGCCTGGAGATGGACATCTGTCGCTTCCGTGGCCTGGAGATGGACGCTAGGCACCTCTGAGGACTGCGGTAGGGCTTGGAGCTGGACATTGGTGATCTCAGAGGGTTGTGGTAGGGCTTGCAGCTGGACATTTGTCACCTCGGTGGCCTGCAGCTGGATGTTGGTGACGTCCGAGGGTTGTGGCAGAGCTTGGAGCTGAACATTTGTCACCTCAGTGGCCTGCAGCTGGATGTTGGTGACATCCAAGGGTTGTGGCAGGGCTTGGAGCTGGACATTTGTCATCTCTGCAGCCTGCAGTTGGATGTTGGTGACGTCCGAGGGTTGTGGCAGAGCTTGGAGCTGGATGTTGGTGACATCTGAGGGTTGTGGCAGAGCATGGAGCTGGATGTTGGCCACCTTCGAGGGTTGTGGCAGGGCTTGCAGCTGGACATTTGTCACCTCACTGGCTTGGAGCTGGATGTTGGTGACATCCAAGGGCTGCGGAAGCGCTTGCAGCTGGACATTCGTCACCTCGGCAGCTTGCAGCTGGATGTTGGTGACATCCAAGGGCTGTGGCAGGGCTTGGAGCTGGACATTGGTCACCTCACTGGCCTGGAGCTGGATGTTGGTCACCTTGGAGGGTTGTGGTAGAGCTTGGAGCTGGACATTTGTCATCTCGGCAGCTTGGAGCTGGATGTTGGTGACATCCAAGGGCTGCGGCAGGGCTTGCAGCTGGACACTTGTCACCTCTGTAGCTTGGAGCTGGACATTTGTCACCTCGGCAGCTTGAAGCTGGATATTGGTGACCTCCAAGGGTTGTGGCAGGGCTTGGAGCTGGACACTGGTCACCTCGGCTGCCTGCAGCTGAACACCGGTGACCTCAGGGGGCTGCGGCCCCCGTGGGGGGACGACGCCACTGACACCACCCCTCAGGACGATGACACTG